GGAGGCAGGAGACTCGCTTGAGCCCAGGAGTAGGAGGTTGCTGTGAGCTGTAATGCCACAGCACTCTACCCAGGGGGACAGCTTGAGGCTCTGTCTCAAAGAAAAACTGGAAATGGAGCAAATATTTAAATGTAAAAAAGCAAAATCCCCAAACACCACCCTGAGATATCACCTAACCCCTGAATGATAAATACATATCACAAAGTCTCAAAGTTGCAGATGCTGGCATAAATGAGAGAGGATAACACTTTTTTTATACTGTCAGTGGGACAGTGGGACTGCAAACTAATATAGCTTTTTTGGAAAGAAGTATGGAGACTCCTCGAAAAACTCAAATTAGACCTCCTATTTCACCCTGCAACCCCAACTACTAGGCATCTTCTCAGAAGAAAAAAAATCATTTTATCATAAGGACATTTGAACTAGATTATTTATTGCAACTCAATGTACAATTGCCAAGATATGGAAATAACCTAAATGCCCACCAATCCAGGAATGGATTAACAAACTGTGGTATATGGGGCCAGGCATGGTGGCTCATGCCTGTAATACTAGCAGTCTGGGAGGCTGAGGTGAGTGGATCACCTGAGCTGAGGAGTTCCAGACCAGTCTGAGCAAGAGCAAGAACCCCATCTCTAAAAATTAGCCAGGTAGGGCAGGCCTGTGGCTCAGTAGGTCGGGTGCTGGCCCCATATACCAAGGATGGTGGGTTCAAGCCCAGCCCTGGCCAAACTGGAACAACAACAAAAAAATAGCCAGGCGCTCGGGCGGGTGCCTGTAGTTCCAGCTACTCGGGAGGCAGGAGAATTGCCTAAGCCCAGGAGTTGGAAGTTGCTGTGAGCTGTGATGCTATAGCACTCTACTGAGGGTGATAAAAGTGAGACTCTGTCTCTAAAAAAAAAAAAAAAAAGCCAGACATTGTGGCAAGTGCCTGTAGTCCCAGCTATGTGGGAGGCTGAGGCAAGAGAATCTCTTAAGCCCAAGAGTTTGAGGTTGCTGTGAGCTTTGATGTCATAGCACTCTATTGAGGGCAACAAAGTGACACCTGTCTCAAAAAACAAAAATAAAACTGTAGTATATGTATGTATACTATGGAAAACTATTCAGCCCTAATAAAGGTGAGGACTTTACATGTTTTGGGTTAACCTGGGTGGAGTTGAAACACTTTCTTCTTTGTAAAGTATCACAAAAATGGAAAAGCAGACCAGGTGCAGTGGCTCACTCTTAAAATCCTAGCACTCCAGTAAGGCTGAGGCGGGTGGATTGCCTGAGCTCAGGAGTTGGAGAACAGTCTGAGCAAGAGCAAGACCCCATCTCTATTGATAGCCAGGTGTTGTGACCAGTGCCTATAGTCCCAACTACTTGGAAGGCTGAGGCAAAAAAATCACTTGAGCCCAGGAGTTCGAGGTTGCTGTGAGTTATGACAACACAGCACTCTACCAAGGGTGACAAAATGAGATTCTGTCTCAAAATAAATAAATGAATAAAAGGAAAAGCAATTATCCAATATATTCAATACTAATATAAAGCCAGTAGACAATCTAGTTCATGCCCAGATAGGAGAAAAACTCAATTCAATTCAAGTTGGGGGGAAGGGGAATGCGGGAGTGGAGAGAGGTGGAGGGGTGGATTGGTGTGCTCCCGCTTAATGGGCATAATGTAGGGGTATATGGCACACCTTTTGGGTGTGGGACACAACTACAAGAGGGACTCTACCTAACACCTGGTTGTTTGTACCCTCACATTAACCTGAAATAAATTTTAAAAAAGTAAACCCACAAAAAACTAGAAGAAACCAGCGGAGAATTATTTTATGATCTCAGAATGAGAAAAGGCTTTCCAAATATGATACAAGACATGGAACTCATTTAGAAAGATATATTCAAACACATAAAAATTTAAACATTTTTCTATGTGACAAAAAAAATACCATAATCAGTCCAGGCACAGTGTCTCATGCCTGTAATCCCAGCACTCTGGGAGGCCGAGGCAGGTGGATTGCCTGAGCTCAGGAGTTCATGACCAGCCTGAGCAACAGTGAGACCCCATCTCTAAAAGATAGCTGGGTGCTGTGGTGGGCACCTGTAGTCCCAGCTACTTGGGAGGCTGAGGCAAATGAATGGCTTGAGCCCGAGAATTAGAGGTTGCTGTGAGCTATGATGTCACAGCACTCTACCCAGAGCAACAGCTTGAGACTGTCTCAAAAAAAAACAAAAACAAAAAAACAAACCACTAACCTGACTAACCTGAAAATGAGACAACTATAATATAAGGTAGTAAAATGGTAGGGTGCAGTGGCTCACACCTGTAATCCTAGCACTTTGGGAGGTAGGAGGATTGCTTGAGGCCAGGAACTTAAGACCAGCCTGAGCAACGGTGAGACCTTGTCTCTACCAAAAAATACAAAAATCAGCTGGGCATAGTGGTGCATGCTGGTAGTCTCAGCTACTTGGGAGGCTGAGGCAAGAGGATCGTTTGAGCCCAGGAGTTTGAGGTTCCAATGAGCTATGATGTCGCCATTGTACTCTAGCCTGGGGAACAGGGGAAGACGCTGCTTCAAAAAATAATAATAATAATAATTAACTGCCATTCAGACTTCAAGTGTGTAGAGAGCTCAGAAAGTGCTGCCTCAGAGTCACTGGCAGCTCCCAGATAAAGCATTACGAATTTGGATGGGGTTGGAAATCCAGTGGCCATGCACTGCTGAAAGGGGTTCAGGAAATGGAGAATGGGGTTGCCCTGTAGTAGGAACCAGACAAGACTGTGTTACAATGATCTTGGTATGGGTTGATAAGGATCGAAATAACTTTGCTTCTGTTTTCCTCATGGGCACATTGGGAAACATAGGCCAGGCCACCAAAAATGGCAAAAGCCTTGGGAGGGGGTTATTAATGCCGGAGGGCAAAGTTCCTTCACGGGATTTAAGTGCCTAGAGCAGTAAGTCCCATCCTAAGAGCTCTGTAAGCTCGTAGACTCAGATCTGTTAAGTGTGGAGCCCAAGTTCACACGGATGTGAATGATGGAGCCGGTATTGGGTCTGGGCGTTTGCCAGCTCCTAAGAGCTCCTCCCTGAACAGCACTACCTGTAGCATCTGCTTCTCCCAGAAAAGGCAGCGCCATGGGTTCGGGATGAAAGCCATTTAGGGGACGTGTCTACGCCACCACGTTACACCAAGCGCGTGTGGGAGGGTGTCTAGGGACGCGGAGACCGGGAGCAGGGCTGGGTGCCCGAGCGGCCCCGCGCTGGCCGCGTCAGTCTATTGTTAGCGTGTCGGGCCCGCACGCGCCCCCTGCTCTGCGCTCGCTCTCCCGCCCACTCTCTCCACCCTCCGCAGCGTGCGGGGAAACCTGGCGCCAGGGTCTGTCTCAGCGAGGTTCTATCTCCACGCTTGGTTTCAACTGAAAGGTCTACAGTCATAGATCCCCTTCCCACTCCAACGGTGTGTGGTTCCCAAACTCAACTACTTCTCAACTTTGGCGACCACCACCACAGCCTCCATTCTCCAACTCCGTCCATGATCCCGCACGCGGGCGCTCGGGTTCGCGGTACCTGTGTCGCCAACGCCCTGGAGGCCGCAGAAATGAGCCAGGCGCAGCCCCTGCACAGGCTGCTGGGGGTACAGCGGGTAGAGACTCATGCTCAGGTAGGCGGGCAGCCAAGGCGCCGGACACACCCAGGGCAGAACCGGGACAGGACACTGGGATGGAGCAGTCCAGAGACCCTGGAAGGTGCCGGCAGAGCCTGACAGCTGGGAGACGGCAGGCGCTCGGGGATCTGGCCTCGCCAGGATGGCCTCGACGGAGAAGGACTCGAGGCGTCCAGGAGCGCGGGGCTTTTCACCGCCGGCGGGACGGTCCAAGAGCGCGGGGGACCGAGGCGCTGTGGAGCTGCCCGCGCGCGGGGGCCGGACCCCAGCTCCTACAGGAAGGGGCGGCCGGCTACCTAGCGGCCCCGGGCTGGGCATGGCGCGGCCTTTGCGGGGGCCGGCTCGGAGAGAGGAGCTGGGCGTTTTGTGACCCTGCGAAAAGGAATGGATTAGACTTGCTGCCCAGGAACCTCCAGGCTCTCAGAGAGGACTCTTAAACTTGGCGGGGCGGGACAGGGTGGGGCTGGGCGTGGACCGGCCTTTTTCTCCTGCTGCCCGGGCGGGGCAGCCAAAGTCGCGCTAGCCCCGCAGCCCGGCCCACCCTCCGCCCTGGGTGAGGCAAGGTGGGCACTGAGCCAAGAACTGTGTCTCCTCCCAGTGAGACTCAGTCTCAAAAACAAACAAACAGAAAAGCTCACCCTGGGGCAGTCAGGGAAGGACCCTGAGCTCCAGGATGATTCTGGGCGAGCCACCCAGCTACTAGAAACAGACTTTGCTCCTTCATCACTGGAGTAGCAATGCCTTCTCCTCCCGGCCCTGCTGGGGCGGAGCTGTGATTCTGAAGGGAACTAGCGCAGTGCCGGTCTGCCCAGGCCTCAACTGATCCACCCCAACTGTGAAGCAAAAGCCCCAGCCAGATTCACCCATGATACCGCGCAGACTTTTGTTTTTGTTTAATTTAAACATTTTATTTATAAGCACTGTGAAATTATTTTCCTACTCCGTTCCCAGCTGTCCGTTTCCCTGCCTGAGACACAGCTAGGATAACCAGAATCTTTTGAATTTTTCCAGGAATTTTGTGTCCATGTCACCTAGGGCCCCACTGGAAAAAACTTTTTTATATCCAAAAAGGCGAAAGGGAAAAAATTAACATAGAGGGTTAATGTACAGAGGTTGTTGAGTAGTGTAACTGTTCCATATTAAAAAGTACTCATTCGTTGCCGATGCATATGAGTCCACCGCCCGTAAAAATCCTTGCGTGGTGGTGGTGCCTGTGGCTCAAGTGGCTAAAGCGCCAGGCACATACACCAGAGCTGGCAGATTCGAATCCACCCCGGGCCTGCCAAACAGCAATGACAACTACAACCAAAAAATAGCTGGATGTTGTGACGGGCGCCTTAGTCCCAGCTCCTTGGGAGGCTGAGGCAAGAGAATCTCTTGAGCCCAGGAGTTTGAGGTTGCTGTGAGCTGTGATGCCACAGCACTCTACCGAGGGCAATAG